AAGAGCGCTGTATTTATTCTTCCTTGTCGTCGATCCTAAAACTCAAAGTACGTTACTTCTCCGCCATCTCGCTACCTATCCAGGACAAGTACAAGATTTTACATTGATTGGACGGCAAGTTTCTGCAAGACGGAGTTTCAGCCACTATCAATAGCCGTCCCAAGCATCACTCTCCTCATTTTGTTATTCTTTACCACCACTCCTATTAGATGAGCTGCCATGAATGGATTCGAGAAGATGATGGGATCATGAAGAACAATCTGATCTACCTGCGGTGCTTTGCGACTTGTAAGTCTGCCTGGTAGACATGTAGTATGGTGCCAAGGATCCGGCCTAGTCCTATCTCATGATCACAAGTCGAAGACGAGCTTGGTTCTTGATTCTACCTCTCGGTTACCTACTAAGTTTCTACAACCTTTAAATCAAACTCCTGGTTGACATTTCAGCTAGCTGCATTGCAAATGGAGTACTCACCTGGATAAAGTGATGCTGTATCAATACATACAGTGAGCAAAGTTATCACTGAGCACCTCAGAGGGCGACCATAAATTTTCGGACTATCAAGACGTCACGGACGTCACCTTCGGCTCCGTTAGCATGGCGTTGGGTTACACACCTCGGTGAGGGCGGCGAGACCACCCCACACTGGATGGACTTCACGGCCCGGCAGTCGGCGGAACCTTGCGTAGCGGCCCTGCACCACCATTACCTAAGCGGACAACCTCACCTCTTCCATCCTCCCACGCCTGCCTAGGTATTACTGAAAAGGCCTGGTTCTGTTTGAATGTTTATGAAATTTTTACGATTTCTCATCGGCTAGGCAAACCGGGTGATCAGCTACCAAGAAAGGGATCAACACCGGAAAAAAAAAATCGCGGCGTCATGGCGGCCCAATTTGAGAACCTGCCAGACGAGCTCAAGCTGGCGACGGCGGCGCACGTCAAATACGTCCAGAGCCTGGACACCCGCAAAGACGAGTACGACTACTGGCTGACGGAGCACCTGCGCCTCAACGGCCTCTATTGGGGCCTGGTCGCGCTGCACCTGCTCGGCCACCCGGAGGCGCTCCCGCGGGACGAGACGATTGATTTCGTGCTCTCGTGTCAGCATGAGAGCGGGGGGTTCGGGGCCGCGCCGGGCCACGATGTGCATATGTTGTACACTGTTAGTGCTGTGCAGATTCTGGTCATGATTGATGCGCTGGATGAGTTGGAGGCGAGGGGTAAGGGTCAAGGGAAGGCGCAAGTTGGCAAGTGTAAGTTATTTAAACCACTCTCATCACTTCGCAGGTCTAACATATGTCATCTCAGTCATTGCGGATCTCCAGAACCGTGAAAGCGGTACATTTGTGGGAGACGAATGGGGCGAGGAGGACACGCGCTTCTTGTACGGCGCCTTCAACGCTCTCTCCCTCCTGGGCCTGCTCTCCCTCGTGGATGTCGACAAGGCCGTCGCGCACATTGTCGCCTGCACCAACTTTGACGGCGGCTACGGCGTCAGCCCGGGTGATGAGTCGCACTCGGGCCAAATCTTCACGTGCGTGGCGGCGCTCGCCATCGCGGGGCGTCTGGACCTCGTGGAGGCGGATAAGCTGGGCCGGTGGCTCAGCGAGCGGCAGGTTGCGGGCGGAGGCCTGAATGGCAGGCCGGAGAAGGACGAGGACGTGTGTTATAGCTGGTGGGTGCTGAGTAGTCTCGAGATCATCGGGCGGACGCACTGGATTGATCGGGGTAAGCTTGTTGCGTTTATTTTGAAGTGTCAGGATCAGGAGTTGGGGGGCATTTCGGATCGGCCGGGGAATACGGTCGATGTGTGGCATACGTGCTTTGGAATGACGGGGTTGAGTTTGTTGGGGTATCCGGGGACGGTGGAGGTTGATCCGGTGTATTGTATGCCGAAGCCGACGATTGATCGGGTGCTGGGGAGGAAGTCGTCGTGAGCTGTTGAGAGGGGATACAGGAAGGGTCAGTGGATGAAGCACGGCTTTTGGTCGAAGAACGCCTGGTTGTTTGATACAAACGTCCAATTACGGCTTGTGGACTTTCAACCTGCAATGGTAGTAGATATGGGGATACAGGGCGAGAGGGAAGCAATAGTGTCGGCTTCTTCCAGTCTGCGTGGTCTCATTCACGACTTGCTGTGAGATAATCCCTAGGACACTCCGAAGGCTCAGATACCCATGAGAACAACTTAATGATATATGAAGTAATCCATCATCAGCTTTCACATCGCAGTCAGGTTCTTTCCTGATGCATGTCTATCGTGCCTCTCGTGAAGCCATGAGCAGCTACTTTGTCCATGCTGCTTTAGTCCACACATTCTAGGGCTTGGTCACTTATCTGCTCCTCCTATTGAGCTATCCTTCTTGAACACACTCCCATTACTTCAAACAACGCAGCTTATTCTGTTCTACTATCACGGAGCATATGATTTGATCTCGCCAAACCCCCACGCACGAAAACCGAAGCTGGGTGCCCGGCCCGCTTCACTGGCTAGCCTAAGGTACTAAACCTTCATCTTGAAGCTTTGTAAGGTACCAGGACTTCTCTCACCGCCCGACCCTCATCCCATATCCTATTTCGGCATGAAAACACCCAGTCACGTGCACCGCGGTCGGTGTAGGCTTAGCTCCGTGGTGATGCCCTCCACTGCGGAAGACCACCCACCCGCTCACCGACCGGCCGCCCCACCACACGCGTCTGTCTGCCTTTCTCTCGTCTCTCACACTTCGCCCTCCACCACCATCACAACAAACCCAACGTTCTACCTCCACATCGTCGGAAGTCTCGATATCTTCAATCTCTTGGAGATTTCACCAACAACCACAACAATCCCTTGGACTTTGATCGTCTCATTTGGTCGCCGGTCCAGGCTTCCATTCCTCTCTGCTTTCGATTACAACACTGTCACAACACCTCCACCTCTCTCGAAATACACCCGTCTGTACAACACCGTCGCATCTGTATTTTTCTTCCCGTCCCAGAGTCGTCTGTACGACCATCATCAGATCGCCTTTGCCCTTTGCGAAATCCCTGTTCCAAGAACTGCTACTGGATCAACATCCTCATCCTTCGCTATTCATCAGGAGGATTTCATCAATCAACACATTCGCGTCGACAAGAAGCACTTGGACTACCCGGTTCTTCTTCTACACCCTTTTTCTTAAGGGAATTCGGGAACTAGGTACGTGGTGTTGTTTATCTTCTCGTCATAATCATCACCGACACCTTCTTTGGCTTTATTTTTAGCTTTCCCGTCTTTGTTTTCCCTTCACGCAATGCTTTTCAAATTGGTCACTCTTTTTGTCTCCTTCTGCTTCGAATCATTGTCTTTTGTCTTGGTTTCACTGCTATTGTTCTCCTGGGCAAGCCTCACCATCGAATATCATCCTCGTCACAGTCTACTTTTCATCAAGCAATTGCTTTCATCGCACTGCTTTCATCGTCCCAACCGTTCATTCCTCAGATGCTCCGTCCGTCCGAATAAGGCTCTCATCGCAAGTTTTCTGTTCTATTACTAGTCTTCATATACCATTTCCGTCTCTACACTTGAGCATCAGAAGATTCTTCACGACCTGGGAGAGACTGTCCATTCTGAGTGGTGCGTTCAGACACACTTGCAAGTGCACGTGCTTGAATCACATTCCCTGATTTTCTTTTGTTCATGTTGTGTCGAGTTCAAGAAGCGAGAGACACCTTCAAGTGTGCTCTAAGTTTGGCCTCTTTTCTTCAATACAGAGACAGCGAGTGCTCGTCTCTGCTCCTGCTTCAGGAGCTATGCTTGGGTCAAAAAACTCCCTCCAGTCCTGTTCAACCCAGAATGGCGAGAGCTGGCCTTTGATTTTGCTACTGTTATTCAAGTTGAGACGGCGAGTGCTAGTCATGTCCAAGGTCAGACGATGAGAGCCAGCCTCTGATCCCGTCAGTCTTGTTCAAGTTGAGACGGCAAGTGCCAGTCTTTGATCCCGCCTGTCTTGTTAAAGTTTGGACGGCGAGAGCTAGTCTCTGATCCAGCTTGAAATGAGACGGTGAGAACTGGCTTCTGATCCCGCCAGTCTTGTCCGACTTGGGACGGCGAGAGCTAGAATCTGATTCTGCCGTTCTTCTTGGACTTGAGACGGCGGGAGCTGCTCTTTGCTCTCGCCTATCCTGTCGACTTACAATGGCGAGAGCTATTCTCTGCTCCCGCCAGTTCTGTTCAATCAGGAATGGCGAGAGCCAGTCTCTGCTCTTGCCCTATTATTCCTATAGCTGAGGAAGGGCAACAGCCCTGGGATTTTTGTACTCGCACCAGTCTCCTCTTTTCTCTTCTCTTCTCTCTTCTCTGGAGCTCAAATCTTCCTCCATTCCTCTACAAACACACCGACAGCCTTGATCCACTCTTACTTACTTTTCAATACAGAAGCAATCTAGTTCCTTGGATTGGTGATACGATCTATTTACCAGAGCAGCAAGTCAGCAACATACGCCACTCCAGAGAGTCTTTTTTAGCTGTATTCAGGACACACGGTGAGCCATTGCCTGAAAAGCCGCAAGTTCTTGGAGAGAAGCCCTTACTAACGAAGCCAACCTCATAGGACCCAAAAACACACAATAACCCGTCTCTTCCCCGTGGTCTTCAGCATCAACAGCTGATCTCTCAATCTGAGCTCAATCCGTGGTACTTGGTAAGTCATTCACCCTCATCCAGCGAGTGAGGCTTGTCCGTTGCGAAAGGATCGGGGTCGCAAATCGGACGGGAGTCTCAGCATCAAATTGCCGCCGTTCTCCCGGGCCGATGGGCAGTTGGTCGGCGACGACATGTTCAGGCCGGAGGCTTGGGGGTCCGAATTGCCGGTGCCTTCCTCAAAGCAACATTACCTCTTTCCGTCAGGTGACAAGACCGGAACTTGCCTCTGCTCTCTCCACAGGTTTCCTAGCTGTTGAGAAAGTGCCGATATCATAGCTTCCATCATTTATGAAGTTTCTGTCACTGACGAATTCATTTCGCAGGAAAGAGTACCTAAACCTCAAGAACCACCTCTTGCCGGATTTCGATCTCATACCAACGTACCTTCTCCGTTCATTTTGGGACGGCAGGCTTGTTGTTACTATGGATAACATCATTCTTCCCGTCTTTCCGAAATGGCTCCCAGACGTCAGGCAGCTCTTGCTGCTCAAGCCGTGAGTACATCCCCTTTCCTATCTGGAGTCTATGCCCACTCCCTTGGATGGCACAACAGTCGTTGTCGATGCATCCGTTCTTTCGTCGGATGTCCCGAATCATCGACATTCCTCCTCCCATCACAGCCACCCTTTGCTTCCACTGTCCTCCCTTTTGCACTGAGCATTTCGACTTCACTCGTTGGCTTTCATTGCTGGGTGTTGCCCTTCCTCTGTCTGCTGATATTCGAAATATCCGTCGCTCTCTTCCTCCCCTCGTTTTGTGTTTTGGTTACTACGAGCAGACAAGCCTGTCTTCCGTCACACTCGCTCTGTTAAGACCATGGAAAGACGGCTAGTCAGTAACGACTGGCTCTATACATTAATTAGGGGCTACAAATGCTGACTCTGGACAGAACATGGCCGCCGTTGCAGCCCACGAGGCCGACGATGTCATGCCAGTCAAGATCCTCAAAGCATCCAAGACCAAGCAGCTCAAGCCCATCAAGATCGAGAAGTCGTCCACTGTCAAGACCAGCGGCAAGGCCCCTGGCTCCAAGAATCCACCCGACGACCTCAAGCCCTCGGGCAGTCCTGGAATTCCCCTCGTCTGCCTTGTCTGCATGAACGCCCCGCGCTTCTCCGACCTCTCCCATCTTCTGACCCACCTCAGTTCCAAGGGCCACCTTCAGACTCACAACGATGTGAGAATCCGCGCCACTCAGGATCTCGTCGCCGCGGAGAAAGTTGCCACCTACGATAAGTGGTACAAGGACTATGGCATCGAGCGTATGCTTGCAGAGCGCCTCAAGGCCAAGGATGAGAAGGCGAGAGGTATCCCGCGACCTGGACAGGGAGCTTCTCAGGTAGACACCCTATCAAGCAAACAACTTCTCATGTGCTGACTGTGACAGACACTCAAGAGAAAGAAGGCTCGTTCAACCCTAGTCAAGCGTGAGGCTGATGACTCCATGTTTACGCCTCCGCCCACCGGTCGACTTCTTGGCCAGCAGCAGGCCATCACATACTATGGTGACAACGATGATCTGGCCTCGGCCTCGACTCCCACCGATGATGCCATTGAGTGGGGTCCCGATGACTTGGAGTCTGCTCGACTTAAGGGAACTGTCTGGCCGGGCATGGGCATCTTTGATGCCGCCACCCCTGACCAGAAGAAGCAGCGCAACCAGCGCAAGGACGCCTCTGTACTCCGCAAGATGGAGCTTTCGTCCCAGGCGATCACCACCTTGGAGATTGTGGCCAATCTGGACTTGGAGTTCGAGAGAGCTCGTGATGTCTATGATGCACCTTCCGTCGAGGGAAGTCCGGTTAGTCAAAACATATGCCATCAAGTAGAGAAGTAATCCACTGATCATTCAAATCTCTCAAACAGGTCGCCAAGAAGTCTAAACGTCGTCAGAGACGTAGCGGTGCCGCAGAGGAGAATGGCAATGCCTCGGGAGTTGTCGTCAAGGAGGAGCTCGCTGACGAAGCCGCTCATCGTGCAGCTTCTGCATTGGCTATGCAGTTCCAGAATGGTCTCTATAAGCAGGAAGAAGCCTCGGAGGTCGACAGCGAGTCTCTCCCAGAGAAGTTCGATGTCACGAGCGACATCGCTAGCACCGCTGATGGTGACAGCGATACTCTTGGCTACGCTGGTATGGTCGAGCTTGATGAATCTCACAAGGATGTGGAAGGCCCCGACCAGGGTCCTAGCGAGAAGTTCTTCACCGTTACTGGTCACGTTCACGACGTGTTCCAAGGTGGCAGCGGCGCCGGTAAGTTCCTGTAATACATCCGTCTTCCTGCCCACCCACTGACTCCAATTACAGGCACAAAGGTTTCGAGTGCGGTGAAGGATGAGCCTAGGTCCATCCCCGAAAACTCTCATCATGTTAGTAATGTTGTGTATTAACCCTCATGTGCGCAGATTCGACGTCCGCAATCGTATACCCCTCCGGTCGATGAACGCGAACTCGAATCTGAGCATGGCCTCTCCTACTCCGGCTGCAAAGCAGCTTTTACGTCGAATGTTCACAGGAAAGGAAAATAACAATGGTGTACAGGAACACAATATGGCCGGCGCTGACTTCTATGGTGTCAACAACAATAACTTGAACCAGGCCGGAATGACCACTGCCATCAGCATGGACCCCAATATCTACAACACATACCCGATGCCTGACATGTATCACCTCAACCAGGTCTGGGGTAACCCGATGTTGCGCGCCGCCCACCATGGATTCAACCCCATCAATGCCAATCACAACCATCAGCAGATGATGTTTTCTCAGCAGATGCCCATGATGAACACACTCGGCACCGGCCACCATGACCACGCTCAGGGCTCGGGCGTGTACCAGAATGGACATGGGGCCTAGTTGTGCAACTCGATGACATTCCTGTTGGTGACCTGGGTTCATCACAAGCCACCACGGCGGGAAAGTTGGGTATGCGGATCTGGGTGTTCAAAAGACTCTTCATCTGGGTTTCGTTCTTCAGTTTCTTTCTTTTCAAGTAAGTCTGACTTTCTGGCGAAGGCGGAATTGGGCAATGCTGATACCCCACAGTTGTTCGAGTAGATACGCAATCTTCTCCTGCGTTCCTTTACATCGCCAGACCACTTTGGGGCTTGGGGTGACGTGTGGTGAGCTTTCCTCTGGGAACGACTAACTCGCTTGCGGATCCTCGCTCAATGGAGTCAGGGAGGAACACAGGGTAGTTAAGAGGGCGAGGATAGGACACATGCTGCTAGGCTTGCTTGATACTTGCAAGCAAGAAACCATGGGGAATGTGGTGGAACATCCATACGCGGTGGCACTGCAAAGAGCTCCGTCAGGTTTCTAGGACTTTACCCATCGACTTTTTTTTTGTTTCGGGAGGCAAAGAAGGCTATAGATAACGCAGTTTTCGGTCATTCGCAGTCATACCGCGTCAACTAGGCACACCAGACGCACTTTCGAGAAATAACACAAGGATTCATAGTACAGATGTTTACTTTTAATTGTCCATGAGGTGTTTGCTCACAACTGCTCAATGTTTGAGATCAAATGATCAAGCTGATCGGGATTTGTCTCCAGCACTTCTGTGAGAAGACGAGCGGTGCCCCTTAACCTCCGAACCCTTACATCCTGCTCCATCTCGCGCGACCTCTGCGAGGCAACATCAATAACCTTGCGGGGTATACGAGCCAGACGAGCCACATTCAATCCATACGATCTATGCGCAACACCCTCTCCGACTTCGTACAGGAACGTAATCTCTTCATCAGCACCTGCGTCATCATCATCCGCATCGGCGTCGCCCTCCTCCGCCCCGGCTCTGCGGGTAGCGGTGAAGCGCATGTGGACATTCTTGACGAGGCCTTCGCCGATTCCCTCGGCCAGGCGGGCGAGATTCTGGTAGTGCGTGATGAAGAGGGTGAGACACCTATTCTCGCGGACAACGTGGTCGAGGACGGCGTGGGCGATGGCGGCGCCGTCGTGGGTGGAGGTACCTCTGCCCAGCTCGTCGAGGATGACGAGGGAGCGTGGGGTCGCGGCGCGGAGGATGCGCGCCGTCTCCGAGACCTCGACCATGAAGGTCGATTCGCCGGCGGCGAGGTTGTCGCGGGCGCCCATGCGGACGTGGATTGCGTCGGTGAGGGTTAGTGATAAGGCGTCGGCGGGTACGAAGGAGCCTATTTGGGCTAGGAGGACGAGGAGGGCGACGGCGCGGACGAAGGAGGATTTGCCGCCCATGTTGGGGCCCGTGATGAGGTGGGCTAGCGGAGACGGGGAGGCGAGGGTTGTGGTGAAGGGGATGTAGGGGTCTGAGAGGGTGTGTTCTGCGATGGGGTGGCGGCCTTGGGCGATGGAGATCGTGGGTTTGTTTGTGGTGGAGGGGAGGAAGGTTGGTTTGCTGTAGCCCGGGAGGGCGGCGACGCGGGAGAGGGAGAGTAGGCAGTCGAGGGTTGCGAGGGAGGAGACGGCGTCGCGGAGGGGTTGATAGGCGTCTGCTATTGTGCGGAGGAGGGCGGAGAAGGCGGCGTCGCAGGCGGCAGCAAGGGCCTCGCGGTGTTGGTCGCGCTCGGCGATGAGGCGGACGACGACCGGGGTGTGGAAGCGGGAGAGCTTCTTGGTGCCCGAGATTTTGATCCACGAGGCCGGTACGGATTTGAGGTCCGTGTTGGGCACCTCGATGAGGAACTCGATGCCCGAGACAGTGACGTAGTCGACAGGTTTCTTGCGTTTGAGGGAGGCGGCGGCATCGGCGCGGTGCTCGTCGAGGGATTGTTCGACCGAGACGATGCCCATTTTGTGGTCTTCAATGTCTTCTGTTTGTTCTGATTCGCGGAAGAAGTTGTACTTGTCGTCCTTGCGGGCTGCCTCGGGGTTGATCTTGTCGAGGTGGGAGACGACGAGGTCGAGGATCTGGGGAAGGGAGAGGACGGCGGATGCGATAAGGGGGGAGGTAAAGCCCGTTGCCTCGGCTGATTTGACGGTTGGGTATTGCATGGCGATGCGTTGGAGGGTCTGGAGGACGGATAAGAGTTCAGGGCGGGTGCATTTGCCATAGTAGATACGGATGAGGCTGCGCTCGAGATCCGTCTTTGTGCCGGCGAGGAGGGTCTCCAGACGGTCGACCTTTGCAGAGGACTGCTCATCGACGAGCTCCTGGACGGCAGCGACACGTTCCTCGAGGCGGGCGACGTCAAGTAGAGGCCGGCCAACCCATTTGCGGAGGAGACGCTGGCCGAAGCGAGTGGTGGTCTTGTCCAGGGCCCAGAAGAGGGAGCCGCGCTCCGAGTGGTCGGTGGCGTTGCGGTAGACCTCGAGGGCCTCGAGGGTCGTTCCGTTGAGGAGCATGTGCTGGCGCGCGGAGAAACTGGTGAAGTTCTTTGTGAGGTCAAACACGTGCTCGAGGCCATATTCCTTGAGGTGGCTGATCATGGCAGAAAGGCAAATGGTAACAGGCTCGGGGAGGTGGAGGATCCGCTCCAGGAGAGCCGAGGCGTCGGCGTCGGGAGTCTGCTGTAGCTTGTCGGCGTAAAACTGCGTGACGTGAGAATAGGCCTCGGCGGCCATAGTCTTTGTTCGGGGCACGCGCTCGACGCGGCTCCGGTCGCCAAAGACGTTTGTGCTGCTCCCCGAGAGGTGCTGGATGAGCTTGTCCGACCCCTTTGTAAGGTCGCCGACGATGACGAACTCACAAGGCGAGATATGCAGCAGCCGAGTTTCGATTTCGCTGCGCATGAAGCCGTCCTCGAATGTGTCGTAGATGATGTCTCCCGTGGTCGGCTGCACGGCTACTATGCCGACGTCAACCTTCTCGTCAGTGCCTTGCCCCTTGGTGGGAGTCTCGGTGATGCAGAGCAGATAACCGCCCGAAGGAGCGCCACCGTCACCACCCGTCTCGAGTTCGCCATTCTCGTCAATGTAGGTGCCCTTTGTGTAGACGTTGGTCAACTTCCGGACGAACGGTGCGTTGCGGTTGTCGCCCGCCTTCTTCAACGCGGCGGTCTCAATCTGGCGGACCACGCCAACCTTGTGGCCAGCAGCAACGAGGCGCTTGGCGTGGACGGGCAGACGATGTACTGGGATGCTCGCAGAGGCGAACTTTTCCAGATGTGCTTCAGAGGGGTGCTCGTCGTAGCGGTACTTTCCAGGTATGCACACGATGCTGAGCTCTTTGGCGGCGATGCGGGCATCTTCTCCAAAGAATCGGAACTTGTAGCCCACCTCTACGATGAGGACTGTATCCAGATGCTTCCGCTTGATATCGAGGAATTGGATCTCCATGGGAGTGAGCTTCTTGTTTGCTCTTGCACCGCCCTTCTTTGCCTTGGGCGGCGGCGGAGCTTCGTCCTCGTCTTCTTCTCCTTCGCCCTCCTCCTCCTCGGCGGCTTCGTTGTCGTCTTGCCTCCGGCGCCGCCATAGCATGCTGTCCGGATGGCCCAGCTTCTTGACAAACTTCTTGTGTAGCTCCTCCTTGCGCTGCTTCGTGGACGGGTCTTGGTCCTCTTCGTCTTCCTCCTCGTTCACGTCTGAAGCCTGGCTGTAGGCAAAGCGTCCCGTCCTAGAGGAAGCTGCAGATGCCTTGGACTTGGGTTCGGACTCGGCGGCCGGCTTGGCCCCTGGTGTGAAGAAGGAGCTCTTGCCCTGATCCGCAGCAGTCGTCTTGTCGCCCTTGTCACCCTTTACTCTCTTGGTGTTCTTGTCGGGTCCATTGTTGCCCCTATCCGTGTCCTCCTCCAAGGGTCGCTTGCGCGAGGAATCCGGCGACTCGGGCGGGCTCGTTCGTGCTTCGGACTGCGACTTTTGGAAGGCGGCGGCGAGGCCATTGACGGTCTTTGGCTGGAAGAAGTTTGTGAGCGACTGCTGCTTCTTTTCAGGCGGTTTCGATTTGGGCGCCATGTAGAGCCAGAGGTGCTCGTGGGAGCTGGCAGCCTCTTTTGGGGTGTTGGGAGACGATGCGAATGATAGATGGAGAGGTTCGAACGTCGTTGGTGATGTCAATGGGAGGCGACCACCCCCAGATTTCCTTCCATTTGGTCGTCGCGTCTGCCGGGCGAGAGCGCGTTGAGAGGTTGCAGGGGTGCTCCACTCGAGTTTGGAGCTTACAAGGGTCAAAGCCACTACATTTCCAGGGATGGCGCCCCTATCGCTATTTAAACTTTCTTTTTCTCAACGACGCGTTTTCGTTTCAACGGCATTCATTGGCGCGGTTTGTGATCAGTCTACGGACTTATGGTGATATGGGAACTTTCTCGATAAGAGACTATGATTATGTATGAAAAGGTTATAATTTGGGGAGGGGAGTGTGATGAGCTGAGTCATGTTGGCGCCCGTGTAAGTCAACTATGCCGAGTCCTTATGCAATAACCACTCCAGACCAGCCTTTTGATCTCTTTGGTGTTTCTTGCTGAAGTCTGCCTGAGGAAACAGTGCCCAAAAGCCATGAGGTAGACCAGGGTAGACATCCAGTTTGGTTGGTATTCCCGCATCCTTCCAAACCTGCTCCATGATAAGCGTGCAGTCTCGCACCGGATCCAGCCCACAAGCCTGGAAGTAAGTTTTGGGAATGCCACTTAGGTCCGGCGAGATGACAGGATACGCCACCGGGCTTCTCGGGTCCGGCTTGTACATGTCTGGCGCGATGTTATTCTGAGCCTCTAGAGCGCTGATGTCGTATTGTGATGGTTCTTACCTCTGATGAACTCGATCGAGTCTGCGGTCACAACTGGGGCACTGGCATTCTGCTTCAGGCTCAAGAAACGATTTCGGTACGTTTCGGGAACGGTGTCTTCGGCGAGAGCCCCGGAGATGGACGAGAATATGCCCGTCAGCTTTGGCGTCTGTTTCTCGTCGATCCAAAGGCGGTTAACGCCCAAAGCCAAGTCGGCGCCTGCGCTCTCGCCGCCGACAAGAAAGCCTTTCGATAGGTTGATTCCAATGGTCTTCGCGTTATCAACGGTCTGCCCCATGTCAGTCTCATATCTCGGCACAGCCGGGCTTTGCTAGCTGGGTTAGGTCTACCCATTTCACAACATCGAAGCAATCCTGCACGGGGACAGGGAAGGGGTGCTCTGGAGCCAAGCGATAGTCTACATTCACCGCAATGCCACCGAGTGTTGTAAAGAGCTGGCAGAGGGAACCCACGCCCTCCAAGTCGCCAATGACGAACCCGCCACCATGGAACGCTACAAGGACAGGGCAGCCATCGTCAGCGACGACTCTGGGTTTGTGGATGCGAACGGCAATCGATGCCCCGTCTCCCACGGTGATGTGGACGTCTTCTTCCACGTAGGGCAGAGTAGATGGGTCGGGTTTGGCGGCGAGTTTGGCTTCGAGGACGTTGGCCATGATACCTCGAATCTGTTGGATATCCGTGTCCTTGTTCCATGCGCCGACCCTGATTGGGCTCTCGCTTTGAAGCTACGAGAACGGTCAATATTGTGACGCGATGAGCTCGTTTGATGAAGCACCTCTATGAACTCAGCGTTGGGCTCAGCGAGAGCCAGTATTTCCTCAATGGACAACATTGCTGCGGCTTCTAGTTGGCTATGACAGGTAACTCGTTGGCAGCGTAATGCTTTGGTGAAGTTTCCTAAGGGGACAACTACTTTTATGTTTGTTTAGTTTAAAGTTGAGGAAACTCAGTCAAGTCCAACAGTTTCCTAGCCTGCCATACAAATGTCGTAGTGCGTGGAAGTCAGAACGGCGTAAATTCACGCCGACAACCTGCAGATCATTTTCAGCTTCGGCTGTCTTCCTCACTTGTTAATGTACTAATAAGCGAGGATGCGAACAATCCTCCTCATACTAAGGTAGGTGCAGTCACTAGCGGTGGTTAGCGTCACAAAAGCTCCCTTGGTCTGGTGACTATCCGGTGTCCGATATCTCCACTTTCCGGACGGGATCGGAGCCCCGCAACGCGGAACGGTCCCCGTGAAAACGGTACCACGCCGATGGGATTCGCTGACGTCTTTGGTTTCTTTGGATATCACAGCATGCATCGTCTCAAACCTCAGGGAAAAACAAGTAGGCCGTGCCGCCGTACGTAGAAATACACGAGATTATGAGATATATTTGATCTTGATGAGAAAACTCACGAATTAAAGGATGCGCGAGATGACCACCAACACACGTGACTATTTGAAGGCGTGATTGGGGTCATGGCGCCGAAGTCTCCCGAAAATTAGAGTGACTGACAAATGCGACAGCTGTGGTGAGGTCAGTCAGCGAAAAAAAAAAAGTGGTTCGATCAAGACCACGTCAATAGCCATCCTTTCCGCCCATCCAAACCTTTGTCGCAAACCACCCACCGAACAGCTCGACACTCGCTTCGTTTTCAAAATGGCATCCCAAGCTGCTGCTCTTCGTAAGGAATAAAGCCCTTCATTTTGTATTGCGCAATGGCTAACAATTCCCGCCCGCAGCCTCAATCGCCACCCCGGCCGCTGCGCCGGCTGCTAGCCAGGAAACTTCCAAGCCGAAGGTGCGCAAAGAACCCTCTCTCTTAACATGGCCACTACGATGACCGTCATACGACGAACGTTGAATACTGACGAGCCAACCCGGTTATTGTAGCCCTGCTGCGTGTGCAAGGACGAGAAGGCCAAGCGCGACGAGTGCATGCTCTTCTCCAACGCCGCCGACCCGTCCAAGGACTGCCTTTCCACGATCGACCAGTACCGAGCTTGCATGAAGGGATTCGGCTTCACTGTATAAGCACCACGACGAGGGAGGAAGAAAAGGGCATAATAGGACGAATCCATGCGACGATAGTTGTGTGTACAGTAACGAAACAAGCATACTTCATCTGGCGTTGGGGAATAGAGAAATCATTTCGACTCTTCTAAGCCTTGTTTGCCTGCGATCCTGGTCCTTGGAGCATCTGCGTAGAAGCCTAGACGGGTTCTAGGGGTTGAACGCTGCATATCTCGGTTACTCAATTCGCAGGGTCTTTCGTACACTTTGCTTCATTACACTCTTTCACGGGAGAAGTATGGAGATAATGCCCAGAGAAAGGGATTAGCTTACTTGTCAACAGCATTATCCCGAACTGTTGTCGCTGTTGCACAAGAAGAAGAACCTTGGCCGCTGTGCTCGTCGTGCACATGTAATGTCAGCGAAGTTGCGACAGACTCAGCGACAGACTTAGCAGGTTGAGTCGGCTGGAAGATGGAGGGGAGAGGGGGAAGCTATCATTTGGTTGCGATTGGTGCGGCGATCATATGGCATTATGGCACTGGCTGTGGGCTCTGGGTGCGCGAGAATTGCTCAGCCAATGTACTCACCCTCAAGGTTCGAAAGGGGTGGGAGGCTTGGAGGGTAGGTAAGGTGCCTCACTGAGGGCTGTGGATGGATATGAATGGCGCCACATGCGGTACGCCATCGCTGTCTCCCATGGTTATCTACGATTCCGTGCGATTGAAGGCTTGACCCCATATAGGGGGGTCCAGGACCATTCCTGTCACCAACGGAGGCAGGCGCCTCACAGGCTTGTGAGGTCAGGTCAAAGTCCCGTTTGGCGGGATGGTTAGAAGCGAGCCTTATCGGCGGTAGGCTCGTCCTCACCAGGGTCAAGGTTCGATTCCCAGCATGTGCACCAGAGATGTAGCCCCCAGTTCAGCACCGGGGGGGGTGAACTCTTTTGTCATTTTGTAGCTTTTTTCCAATATACGATTACGATCTTCAGAAATATGATTTCTTCTGAAAGAGACCTCCAAAAAATGCGTATAAGCAATTGATTTGGGCGTGCGTTTTGTAAACCATCATCAACGGATTGGAAATGGTGATATTGGGACTGCTCACCTTGGTCGGATCGGTGAGTGTCGGTGGGTCGGGTCTACCTCGGATGCAGATTGCAGATTGCAGGGATGAGCCACATTCCACACCAGGGACCCCACCAGATTTTTTTCTCTGCGATAATGGCTTTGGCCTGCAACTCTTATCGCATCTCAAAAATTCCCATTTTCCATCACCACCGGTCGGCACCCGTCACAACGCAAAGATGGGTCTGGCACAGGCGAAGACGTGAGGCTCACTGTTTCCGTGCGACTTTTTCTCTCCTCTCTGAGTAACTAACAAAAAATCCTAATTTCTAGTCGCCGGAAAATCGGCAAGGATCCCAATAACACGAAATGGACCAAGGACCTCGACTCCTTTGGCCAGAAGATCCTGCGATCACAGGGTTGGGAGCCCGGCCAGTACCTCGGTGCAAAAGACGCCGCGCACGCGGTGCACCACACAGCGGCCAATGCCTCCTTCATCCGCGTCGCCCTCAAGGACGACATGCTCGGTCTCGGTTTCAAGCAGGCAAGGGATGACAGGGTCACCGGCATGGACGTCTTCTCCGACCTCCTGGGACGCCTGAACGGCAAGTCCACCGAGGTCATAGCCAAGGAGCAGGAGGCCCGCACGGCGCTGAAGAGCACGCTGTACTGCGACAACAAGTTTGGACCCATGCGCTTCGTCAGCGGCGGGTTCCTCGTCGGCGACAAGATCAAGGAGGAACCCACGGCCGAGGCGAAGGAGAAGGACGACAGCGACAGTGACGACGTCAAGATGGAGGATGCCCCCGCGACTGCCGAATCGAGCAAAAAGTCAAAGAAACGCAAGGCCGAGGAGACGAGCGAAGACGATTCATCCTCTTCTGAGGACGAGAAGGCGAAGAAGAAGCGGAGGAAGGAAGAAAAGAAGGAAAAGAAGGAGAAGAAGCGCAGCAAATCAAAGTCTGCGGCTAAGGAGGATGCTTCCGAAGATACCCAGGACGAGACGGCGGAGAAGAAGGCGAAAAAGGACAAGAAGAAGAGCAAAAAGGCCAAGAAAGAGGCCGCCGACAACAGCGACGAAGACGAATCGTCCGACGACAAGTCTTCAAAGAAGAAGCGCAAGGGCGAGACGGATGCCGAGAAGGCTGCGAGGAAAGAGGAGAAGAAGCGTCGCAAGGAAGAGAAGCGCGCGAAGAAGGCGGCGGCAGCGTCAGCATCAGCGTCAACGACACCGACGGCCAGTGGTACGTCGACGCCGGTGCTCAGAGGCCACCACGCCGTGAGGTCACGGTGGATTGCACAGAAGAGGATGGCGACTATGGATGACAAAGCATTGAATGCGGTACGTTTTGGTGTTGCTTGAACGTTCTTGGTGCGAATGTTTACTGACGTGTGTTACAGATTTTTATGGTCAAATCGCAATCTTGATAGAGTAGCAAGTATTAGACAGTTAATGACACTTTTCGGGCGCTTTTCTTCCCTTCGCATTTGCATTTTCCTTATGCGATCTCAGTACTTGAGCTACTTACTAAACTACTTGGTCAAGCTGCGCCCCTCTGTCGCTTCCGATAGCATTGGCTGTTTTTCGATCTATTCGCCTACACAGCAACATATCACGGTTATTTTGTGTTGCACAAAAGACGTCGCATAATTTATTCGAATCAACCCAGCCGAATGGCGCAAACTTGGCTTCTGGGCAAAATGAAGTCAATGAGTCCAACCAAGGACCAAGGCCCGCTTCATCGTCGCCCGGCTTATGAAGGATTCGGAGGCCGCCGAGCCAAGTTACCGGCACGAAGTTGCCGCTTCGCATTCGAATCTCACATAAGTACCTTTGAACCATATGCTCCTGGTGCTCCACCACCAACTTCTTCATTACATATAAATTGTTCACAAAAAAGCATCCATTCGAAAGCTTTAGCCAGCGAAGAACTTGAAACAAAAGTCGTTTACTTACAACGAAGTGGGGAGCTCGATTAGAGATATGACTTCAACTCCAACGCCAATTCAACAACCAGAGCCTGTAGCAAGCAGCCATGGACCTAAATCGAGTACCGCAGCGCCCCCGACAACGAAGCCAGACACTCCCAATACTGCCCGAAGACAATACGTCGATGACCTCATGCCGTCCGAAAACTATTTCGCAACCTGGTACTGTCTCAACCTGGCAGCACTAGCGACAATCGGTAGCCTCTCTGTGAGGCCATCACCGTCCGGCGACGAAGACGCCAAGCTCCTCCTCGCCATCCCCGCCACGTTCTTCTTCTTCATCACAGGGGCCGGCGTGTTCATTATGACGTACGGCGTCTGGCCCCGTACGGGCCATCAGCGAATCCTGAGCAGTATCCTGGGCTTCACTGCCACGCTCATCTACGGGATCACGGTCCCGAGCTGGACTGTTGGCGTCGGGCAGACTCTGGGACGGGCGTTCTGCCTGCTGAGCGGGTTCCACGTCGGGTTCTGGATTGAGGGGTTGACGGGGCTCATGGGACTGGTTCTCAAGGCCCTCAGGAACTCGAGGGAGGAGCCTCTGCCGAGGAAGACTCGTACTGTTGGTGGCGAGGATGCGGCCAAGGCTGAGCCCTCCTCTTCGTCCGGCGCGGCTCAGAACCTTTGAGATCTCAAGGTTGGACGAACCATCCAGGCGTCTTCAGGCTCACGCAAGGTTGGGATGCGGCTGGATTAAGTTTGTGGAAGAGACCATCGCGGTTACCCGTACGTATAATGCAGGTTTCCTCTCGGTTGTAGAGCGAGTCAAAGCGGGATGGCCTACATCATCTTTCTCCACAACCATTCTGGCGAGCACAATATATCCAAGCAGGTCTTGCTGTTCGTGTACCAGAGTCCACCAATTCATATCACTTCACTACAAATCTTTGGATGCTAGACTCAGGGCTCACGCTGCGTATCAGCCCTTTGAGCGTAACAATGCCTCAAGAGCGATACGCCACGACTCCACGCCCCACTTCAAACATGGGAGATAATAAATCCCCCTACCCACCTCCCTTGACAATGAAGGAACCACCCAAACCTTCGACCGAGCAAGTCGAGTCAAAGAAGGAAATAGCCTAACGATTGTTATGCGCGCTCGCTATCAACATCTCGAGCTGGGTCGTCTTGGCGGCCCTCGGCAGCGAGCACTGCACGCTTACGCCGGGCGAGATCTCTTGTATCTGCGGTATTTTCACGATTATCGCATTCGTCATCTCGTACATTGTTCTCTTGTCATTTTGGACGAAAGAACAGGAAGAAAAACCCAGCGTCGTGACAGCTAGCGTGTTGGGTTACGGTATCGCGACAGCCTACTCCTTCATCACCGGGCCTTGGCACAACGACCTGTCCAGGTTTTCCTACCAGTTCTCCGGTCTTTATCTCGGTGTTCTCGTCGAATCGGCCACGGGAGTGTGCAACAAACTATCGTCGGCCATGGCAAAGAACTCTGGTACATCGAAGCCTATATTTCAACAGAAGGCTGCCTGAAGGTTCGGTGGTTGAATGCACCGTCTTCGTCTTGGAGAACCTTTGGGAACGAAGCATAGCTTTCCGGTTGCGGAGGGACTCTGGAACAACACCGGGCTCTAATGGAAGTTGACAAAGAGGCAACTTGAATGAATCTCGGAAATTTGAGAGGCTTGCGCGTCACGAGCAGGTTTCGGACAACAAAAAACGACCGACTGTCATCATCTGCCCTGATTTGTCTGGCTGTCTATCTCGGCGTACCCTGATATAAACACATCGATACATCTTCCAACGAATTATTCTTTCCAAGGGCTTGGAGGTGGTTTTAAAAACATGGCTATGTTGTTGCCGAGGTGCCTGCTTGCCCGACCAACCTCACTTAATCCCGGCATCACGTTCTTCATGTGGTTGACAACAAGCTCTTAAGCAGTTAGTTCTCTTGAACTAGGTACATCACGGCTTTGAATTTCCCAAGGTCGGACGAAATAGTGTGGTATTTCTAGTCTTAGTCCTCAATCAAGAAGCAAGTTTACTAAAATGATGGTATTTCGTGGCTAGTATCTACGGACGAATGTGAACTTTGTGATGTCAGCCTAATGATTCATCCTTGACACCCATACCTCTCACCGCCCAGCCTCACGCACACCGCTCACCACCCACCACCTCACCCTCTATAATTATCAAAAGGAAGGCATTCTATCACCAAGGCCTGTGACGTAGCGGGGAATGTCACTTAAATGGGAATGGCCCCGCACTCATAGGTCCCGGGTTCGAGTCCCGTCTGTTTCTTGTAAAAATCCTTGCATCGTTACACCTGAGGCTGGTAAGAGTCTCCTCGGATCTTTCGTAGGCTCCCTATTATTAGGGAGCCGAGCTTTTTGCATTTGTTTTTGCAAGTTAATAGTCCAATGGAATGGATAGCCGGCCTTCGCCCTCAAGGTCGTTGTGGATGATAAATAGCCCAGATAATCACTTGGTAGTGTATGACTGGAGTCTACACGGATGTTCAACTTTCTCATGACCTATTGTCCATATTCCAAATACATGGCCGCGAAGAAGATCGAGTCAACGTCCCATAGCGAATCACTTTCGAGTCTACCGAGTCCATTGAAAAGTTAAGTTGAACCCTTTGGCACCTGTGCTTTGTTTTTGACCGCGCCTCTTCGGGCCATCTTGAATTCGAGATTCTTGGAGTAGACTGGACCGCGAAGATTTATCTTCGAACACATCTTCCAGGCTGTACTCTTAATCATACCTTAGATCTCATCCTGTAAGCGTTATATCAGGGTCTGGCATACTACGTCGTAAGCAACTGATCAGGAGGCTGAAGCTCCCAACATCCCAGACAGAAGAGTCATCACGTACAAGCCACCCATTGTCAAAGACGCAAAACTGAAGAGTCCAAATTGGCCCAAGATTCTATTATCCCAAAGACACCTGTGTGGCATGGCATATCTCCGCTGGACTCTAGTTGAGCGCAGAATCGTGGTACGACCAAAGTCTAAAGGCAGAGTAGAGAGCATCATGGTCCGGTAATGACGGTATCTCCGACAAAAAGGAAAAGCTGCAAAAACTCAAAGAGACGAGGTATCTCCGGTAGCACGATGTATGTAGTATACGAAGCAGGCTTCTAACAGCAATATTAATCATTCTTCATTCATCCCACATCCCATACATCTTCTTCACAATTCTGATAATTACTTCGGCATACACTCATCACTCTCTCAAGTTAACTTATACCCAAGTATTCAATCACGTATACCCTCAGTATCAAAGATGGCTGCTACCCGTACCTACTTCGCAAGATACCCTCACGTCTGGCATGACCGTTCCACTCGTCCGAGACTCACAACCATGAGTCTCGAGACGATAGAAGAGTCTCTTGGAGAAGTCAGCGAGGCCCCTGCCCCTAACGAGGTCAAGAACATGCTCCAATCAGCCTCCAGGGCGGAAGCCATCACCAAGGCCCTATTCGAGCAGGTATACGCTCCCAACAAGCCTGGAGAGAAGGAAAAGGGCCCCTCTACCACCTGGACACCTACTACAGCCGGCTGCATAGACTGCAACACCTCCCCTTCCCCCAGCCACAACCACAACAACAACATCGGCTGGACCTCCTTTGAAGACATCACCCTAGACGCCCGCACCCTTGCAAAATACGGCATCCGCAGCCCCCGCGTCAAATCCCGACGGTCCCGCTTCCACTACGCCTACCACGAAGAGGAGCCACTCACCCGCAACGAGCCCTGGGTCAAGAGGTTCTCGTACCTCGAAGACGGAATCGAGGCCTCGAGGAGATTTCAGAGACGTGAGGACATGGTTGTTGATCTCGACAACGTCGACGTCAACGGCCTTCCAGTTGAAGGGGAAATTGAGGAGTTGGTTCTCCCGCCGCCTGTGCTGCCACTGCCGCAGACACCAGCGCCGGTGGTTGCCCCACGCCTTGAGGAGGAGTTCAAGCAGTGGCCTATGGACGTCAGCACCGCCACGAATGAGGGTGAGGATGAGAGTGAGGTTGAGTGTGAGATTACTTCGGAGGATCATCTCTGCCTCTTCTGTCCCTCCGTCATTGAGTCTGAAAGAGATGAAGACTCAGAGTACAGCGAGGCGGACGAGCAAATTCGGCGGGAGCTGGATGCGGTTAATTGGAATTTCGAGAAGTGGGCTCTCGGCGATAGTGATTCCGACGCGGACGGCGAGGAGCTTCGGCGAGAATTGGATGCGGTGAATTGGGATTTCGAGAAGTGGGCTTTCGGCGATTACAGTTCCGATACAGACAGCGAGGAGTCTCCCACCTCTCCTGCCGCTGCTCCCGACACTCCTGCCGAGCGGTGCAGAGGAGTAGTCGCTGGAGTGGAGATGGAGGGAAGAGAGCAGGTGGAGGAGGAGGAGGAGGAGGAGGAGGAATCGCTCCTCAGTGAGGTTCTAGTGGCGAATCTTGTGGGAATCTCCATTTCCTTGCTGCTCATGTCCATCGTGTTCGGACTCTTGCCGGGATCGCAGTGAGCGTAAGGCTTGAGCAAGGGAAGGTGGGAGGGAGGGTGGTGTGTGGATAATGAAAGACGACAACGATGACGATAATGATAATGAGGCATGAATAATGGTAGGAATTCGTGTTGAGCCCACTCGCGTGGGATCAAACTATATCAAGTCTGCCTCTAGAGGCGGATCGAACATTAATGGAATACTGTGGTCCGCAAGATGCATTTTGAACATTGTGATTGATCATTTGCTTTCTATGCAGTCTTTATATTGAGACTGGCAGTGCAAGCCCAGATGCCGCTTGTTGCGCCTAACCAAGACCCTTCAAGTCAAGATCTAAAGAGGGTATAGATAATGCATGCAAGCCCCTAAACTCCACATCCAAGAGAACGCCAACCCAAAAGCATGCATCAATAATGCTGTGCCTTGCTATACTTCCATAATAAACTCGCCCCCTCCAGCTTGGGCATGACCTTTGGCCGCTGGCATCCCGGCGAACCCTTCCCAACGAGATGGATAGATCTCTGGAACCTCCGCCTGAATCGCCGCCAGTCATCATTCGTGGGCCACGACTCAAACAGGTCGCCTTCATTTTCCAAGTCGTCCTTGTCGAAGCAGTCGTCCTTGTCGTCGTCGACGTCCAGCGGGTAGTAGAGAAACTGATTAGAGTGCGGGTGTCGCGGCTGTGTATAGTTGAGCTGTGACTCAATATCGAACTTGAAGCGGTACCCTTGGTGCACCAGTTGTGGGCGTTGCGGATCTGGGTAGTTCATATGAGATGTGGCATACGGAGGCCGAATGTCAAAGTCGAACTGGAACTCTTGGTGGACGACGAATACGAGCTTCCTTAACCTGGGGAACTTTGACAAACGGGCCAGAAGCGTCGTCATGTTGGACTTAGAGACTTTCCAACTAAGCACCGGGTGGCAGATGCCAGTGTAGAGCCCGTATGACGTTCCAAACGCAAGCCGACTGAGGTTGTCTCGCACAAGAGGGATCTGGCTGAAGAACTGCAATGTCCGGAGTAACCGCTTGACCAGCAAGTACGGCTCGAGCAATAAGACATCGCGCGATAGGTCGACGTATTTCGTCGTGGCCGAGAGAGCAAGAGGTCTGTAGCGTTGTAGTACATATAACCTCGTCTCATGGCATACCGCGCCCAGCGCTGGTGGTGGTTCATCTCGAACATTGGCGAACATGAGTCCGGCTGCCGCAGGCGTTTTCTGGCTTGCATTCGGCGAGTCCATGACCTCGTACACGCGCGACTCTGGGAGAGCGTACTCCCAAATCATTAATCGAATCTCCACCGGCAACTTCATCATCGGGAACGCCTCGCCGAGGGTGACTGTGGGGCTCGAAAACTCCTTCGAGAAGGACGGAAATAATGTTGAAGGCATGATGATCTCTGTGTGACGCTGAGGCCGGGTTGCATCGCAGCAAAGAGATCTTCAGAGACACACAATGCGGGCGGTTTGGGAACCTGGCGGTCGATCTTCTTTAAGGCCAGATGATCTCTGGCTGGGGGGGGGGGGGGCAACAACTTTAATGATCGACGTGACCCAACCACTCGGACAGCGACCGCACAACACGCAACGGTCGGGCAGATACTTCGTAGGCACGCAGCAGCCAGCAGGCACGCAATGGGACGGGACGAACGTCCCCGACGGGGAGGTTGGCGTTGAAATATAGGACCGCGATACCCACTCGTTTAACGTTTCGACTAGCGGCCCGAGAGATCTCGCATAGATGAGGGTAGGAGTTTGTTTCGAGGATCGCACCGGGGTGTAGTGTGGGTGAGGGGAGTTTATCTTGGAGACCTGGCACTAGCAGCTTTCGCAGGTTGATGAGGTTTGCTGATGGGACGACACCAATGAGACGGGGCTGCTCGGGAGCGGAGCGAGATGTATGTTCGAATCTTGTCCGAAGGAAGAAGGAGAGACGACTCAAGGAGCTTCTTGACAGGGAAGAAAGTGAAACGTGAGGAAGCGCAACCGGACTTGTTGCTTGCAAACGGCGGATGTAAGCTGGGTTTTGTGAGCCGTCCGGAGAGTCCCCATCACACTGGTGAAACTGGGGCTAGACCGGATCATCTGATGGCTGTCAGTTTTGACTAGACTAAGGTAAGGTATGGTCATCTACCGTCCCTGCGGTGTCGTTAGTGGGCAAAAGCAACGTGGGATGTCACGACCGGTACGCCGCAACAAATGGACTATTGGCCGCCATGACTGCCACATCAGGTAATCGTGCCGGCAGTTAATGACGCACCGATGTCAGAGCGGGCGAATGCACGTCGATATTCGGGCCTCTTAAGGTCTTAAGGATGGCGAAAGCGATATGTGAAAATGGGTCCGCGGTGCCGATTTGGCGAGGCGGAGTTGCGAAAAAGCGCACCGATAGACTAAGGTAGTAAGAAACTCGATCCGCCGCCGCCGCCGGAAGCCCGCGATGAACATGGCGCGAATTCTAAATTTGGCGGTCAACGAGAGAATGCTTGCCCTTCGTAATCCGGTGACGAGTCGTGATGCCATAAGCTGGCGGTTAATAGCTAGCAACTCGAGCTTGCGTGGGCGCGCGCGCAAGAGACAAAGAAAGAGAGGGCGGTCCAGATTAGACAGATTGGAACCATCGGTGTGCCGTCATTCGAACCATGCCACGGCGTAGCACGGCGCTGGACTGCCACGGCGCTGCAAGGTGACCGCAGGGTTCCAACGAGATGGCAGACGGCTAGCCATGCCAAGACGTTGGCCGGGGCCAGTTCGGGGAAGTGGTGGCATCGGAAGAGGGGCGGACGTGGTAAGGAGCTTGCCGAGAGCGACAGACGACGAGGGAAGGGAGGGGCTCCGAAGGGCTCGGTCGGTTGGGTGGGTACGGGGTTCAAAGGTCGTTTGCTTGAGGCTTTGGGATCGGGCGAACGATACGAAAGCGGACAAGGTTGGTTGGTTAAGCATATTGCGTTGCCTCCTGGCACCTCCTCAAGTCGGGTATTCGCTGCCTCATCACGGGCCCAGGCTCAATCAATCTGAAGGGGACTTGATAGGGCACTTGACGACGTTGCGTGACCGTTTGGTTGAAGTATCCGGCTCATCATCTGTCGTATCCAGGTATCCTAGGACCTAGCCCCCCTGCGCGGACGACACCCCTTGGCCTCCTCTCGTCCTTCGGCACAACTTGGCTTTGCCTAGTACGATTAGAACCGTGCATGGTAGCAGCTTTCTTTCAGCCCTGGTCGACATGGCTTATTGGGGGTGGGTATGTTGCGTTGCGCAAGCCGGAATCCCCCCATTGTTTCGTTCGATGAAGCGGGCGAGTCAAGTAGGATAGTAAGCTCGGCGCATACGATGGCTTGAGTAAGACGAAGAAAGAGGGTGTCTTCATTTGTTGCTGGCTCGACGTTCGCAGTTGTTTTGATGGACTTTGGATGACGACTGGGGTGGGTGTCATCTAGTTGGCTCAAATCCGATATGCTGCTCGTCGCACACTGAGTGCAAACTGTGGGGACCGGGCGTTTGAGTGGACTTCAGGCGCACTGACCAGGTCCGGCAGCAGGACGGGACGTCCAGTGGGGCCTCCCTCTCTTGGGATCTTACCTAAGCGTGCTAAGGTACGTGGGTACCTCGCCAGGCTCGCAGTCACGTCCGCAACCAGCGCATCCAATCAGCCAGCGGAACGCCGCGACCACCCAGAGCCCGCGGAGCCTGCCGCGGCTATTATCCGTTCCTCCGCGAAAAGGTTCCTCCGGTGCCCTTAGTGGGATTGGATTCGGACCCACTCCGGGCGGACGCGCAGGGACCCATCTCACGATATAAAAAAGAGTTTTTGGTCGCGGTTCTTTCGAAGGCTTCTCTTTTTTTCTTCTTTTTTTCTTCGTGCGGCTGGCACGATTCGTTACAGTTTCCCCTGTTGCTGGAATTCCTAAGTCGGTGAATTCATGGCGTCAATCGTGCCCCAGATCGAATTTTAATTGCAGCCGGCCTCGTCCATCATAGATCCTGTTCTTGCTCTTGTAGCGAGTTGGGTCGCGATCGATGGGCCGGACATATCCACTCCTTCAAGCCAAAGTATTTTGGCTAGACCTCGCAAAGTGAATGCGACGACCCAGGCGGGAGCAGTGCGCCTTATGCGGCTATGCACCGATGTTCTGCCTCGCGGTTGAGCTCAAGGCATCATATCGTCGCACACCCGTGAACGCTTCCTAATTTGGAGCATCACGCGCGCTCCAACATCGTCTCATGCATGACCGTCTAAATGCGTAACTCTGCATGGCAAATCAATCATCAATGATGCGCAGCCATGCAGTCTGTGTGGTTCAGTGGTTGTGGATTTTGAGCCTCCGGCACAAAACTGTTACCGGAGGCGTCTATGACTATTGCTCTATTCATGATTCTCGTCACATGGGGTCTCGAGTGCAGACTTTTCTTCCTCTTTCTTGTCTCTTCACCGGACCGATTTTCAGTGCCCCACCAGCCCGCTCTATTCGCCAGCCTCATCGCCAATCTTCTCCAACTTGCCCATTTCTCTCTTCTCGCCCGACTCGCCGATGAGACGCACGCGGTCGAGACGTACCTTTTCACCGTCGCCGTCACCCTTGGTCACGTAGATGATCAAGCTGTTGATGTTCTGGAACTTGACGAAACGAAGGCCAATGTTGGCGGTGCCGTCAGCGTTCCAGTCCTTCTCCGTGAGCTCGATAGCTTGCGTGGGAGGGGTATCATCGGCTTCGCCAAAGTCGAGGTTGTGAGGCTTGTTCGTGTAAAGGTGAATCGTGCCGGGGCGCATGGGAGCCTCATCGTCGTCATCGTCGGTAGGAGGCAGAGAGGTGAGCTACATGACGGGTTAGCAACTGACGCGGTGCTTGACAACGATCTTCCAATCATACCTGAAGGGTGTGCAGCTTGATCATGGACTGGAATGGCATGAACAGCAAGAGCTGGTCATCGGCACCACTCTCAACCCAATCCTTTACGCCCTCCTTCTTCGCGAGCGCGCTAGGCTTGGACGGGTCGAACAAGACCTTGACAGGACCAAAGTCCTCGTCGGCGTTCAGCAGCTCGCAGCCCTTGGGCTCGATCTGACCGGTGACGTCGCCGTAGCCACGAGGGAACTCTGCGCCTCTCCAGTTGCCTCCGCTTGAACTGCCGGACGCCTCGCCAGAGCCTGAAGCGCCCTCGGAAACCTCCTTCGCCAGCCTCTTGACCACCTCTTGGAGCTTGCGGGGGTCGGCGCCCTGGACCTTCTCAATGGTCTTGCCTTCGCGGAAGATCATGAAAGTCGGGAGGGAAGTGACGCTGTAGGCGGAGGCAATCTCCTTCTGGGACTCGACATCGATCTTGACAAAGGTGACGACATTCTTGCGGGACAGCGACGAGGAAAGCTGCTCGTAGAGGGGTGCGATGGCTTTGCAGGGACCGCACCAGTCGGCGTAAACTGGAATCCATTTGTCAGCACGTCAAGTCAATCGTGTGTGCATTTCGCGAGCAGCTGAATGGTCTCCTGGTCGACGCAGTAGAAACTTCGCCGGCGCGATACCGAAAAGCAATGAGGCCGCTACCACAGCGCGTTGGGGCTGTCGCGACCGTCTATGGCCTCACTGGCGTCATCCAGGATGGAGAGGCAGGGGTGCAGTGACCTCGGCGGTCAGGTAGTACTCACAATCAGCAACGACGATACGGGAGCTCGACAGGAGTTTCTGGAACTCCGCTGCCGACTTGATGTGAACCGTAGACATCTTTGCGGCTCCAAAGACTGCAGGGTTCGTGTCGGTAGGTAGGATGTGAAGGTTGATGTTGATGATGGAATTCAGAAGAAAGCTGCCCCGCGACGACGCATTGGCATGAGTGCCTGGCAGGCCGACCAACCTCCAAAGGTACTTAGCTCGACTACCCCGCACCATGCCCTTTTAGGACTAGTCACGCCTTCCCGTGATGCACGGTTCAGGGCAAACAAATCGCCATTGTCCAACGTCGGCTTACCTCTCTGTACCTCAACTCATCGCAACCTTACCAGAGTTGATTGTCTCTCACTAAACTAAAGTTTCCTTTCAATCATGTGACTTACTTTTTCTACTTGTTTGCAATTGTTTGGCTTGATCTCAAAGCCTACGTTTTGTGAAACCTGCTCACTCAGAAACTCAGTCTCGACGTAGTCAATCAACCATACAAGCCGTTTGCTGTGGCTCTGTTTCCTGAAATGCTTCCAAGAGCCCGCCTGTTTGGAAATCTAATTTCTGCCTCTGTCGGTAACCGCCACACGCTTTCCTGACACCTGCCGCTGCTTCGCTTGTTGTTCCATGCTGATCTTTTAACTCCACGCAAAGTTCCGTTTCTGGTGTGTTGGGTTGATACTCCTATCTAATGGTGTGCTATTGGAAGAATAGGTGACAGAGAACTTTACGTTACTATATATGAGAGTCAAAGAAAGGGCTGCACCTCTTTCGCACTCGCGTACTGCAAGTCTCGGCGGGACAATCAGTGATTTCGATCAACCGCTCACCACAGTCCAATGGATTCATAATCCCTCCCCGCGACGGTTCCTCCATTGTAAGCGTAGACGAGGCATCCCACCTGGACCCTACCCCCAACGCCACCGTTGTTACCTAGAGCAGTACCGCATCAGCAACAACATCTCTTCATCAGAGGGTAATTCGACAAGGCAGGTGGTGCCAAAGACTCACATTGTAGGTAGTTATCCCTCATCAAGTCGTTGCAGCTCGGGTTGGTGTTGGAAAGACCATTGGGATATTTGACATGCTGTCTGTCTCCGTCGGTGACACATCCCTCAGCCCAAGAGACCTTGTACTGATGGCGACCCTTAAACTCGTCGTGCCACTCGACGCGAAGGGACTTCATGCCCGACTCCATGAAGCCGGCGTAGTTGTTGCAAAAGTAGTCTGCTCCCTTGAGCTGCTTGTCGGAGTGGATGGGCGGGTGCGGGTTGAAGTCGGCTTCCTTGTTGCAGTTTCTGGGCTGCTGGTTGATGACGACATTGATTCTCTTCTCGAGGGGAGGGATCTCGTCAAAGATCTCTTGGGCGTACCAGACCCGGTTGTCGAAGGAAGAACCGCCGGGCTTGCTGGTGAAGCGGGGAGCGATGAAGGAGGTGGTCCATGAAGCTGCGGCGCCTTTGGTCGACGACGGGATTTGGATCTCGCTAGCTGGGATTGTTCCGTAGAATGTGGCTTCTCCGGCTACGAGGTTTGCAGCCAAGGTCATGAATGCAAGGTAGAGCGTGAGGGTGTTGGCGAACATGATGACCGAGGAAGATTGTTGTAAAAGAATGATAGTGACAGTGATTTGATTGGAAGGAACCGTAGGAGGAAAGTTGGATGTAACGAATGTTGAGCTGGCGGATACCTTCTCAAGTGTTTCTGCCAGAGGATGGAATCACAACTCTTATAACAACTGCTTGTGTCGTAATGTTTGTCCAACAACCAGTAAACATGCCAAAGGAAGAGGCGCCTAGACTAACAATGCTGGAGATTCTCGGATTGCCCCGAACTAGGAAATTACAGGCTCAAGCATCGGTTCTCTTCTTCTTCTCAGTAGCCAATGCCTTCAACTTTTTCAATATCCCAAGGAACATCGTATGCATGGATGCCATTTCCAAGATCGATTCATCCGATGCGACCACGTGAGCATTGTCCATCATGCCCAAACAAACGAGGACCAGAAACGCAAACTGCCTCTCTCCCTACCTCAGGGAGACTATGGATAGTCTCGTCTATGGTTTTGTTTGGCCTGGGCGTCCCGATTTGGGTATCTGACCTCGACACACAAAGAACCGGAAGGCAGAATATAGGTGTTTGTAGATTGTGTCACAACATCAAGACTCACGGTGCTCGCCTTAGACGCAATCCCTTGAGGTTCACAGCATTCTTTTTGTACAATCAGTTTGGGAGGGGGGGGGGGAGGTCTCTGAGCACAATTAGCACATAGAAACTCCGAACGATCAGATTGAGATGGCAGATATCGCGGTCGTCACAAGAGGTAAGGTCTACAGGCGCTCTCATAAAATGAAGCCATTGGACCTCTCGCCTCTCGTTACTGGATGTCTGAAATCTTCTTCACTATGCCCACGTCATTCAATATAACACAGGCTGACAAGGTTGACAGTGCTTCCAGGCTGCCATGTCTACTTTAGTCATGTATGAGGGGGCAAGCAGTACTGCTCATAACAAAAACTCGAAAAACTATGGTGATTCAAGAACGTGTCAATCAGACATGTGTTGTAAGCGAAAGTTTCTCTTGAACTTTTGCAGAGGTTTTTGAACTTCCGCATCTCTGGTGGCGCCTTCTATCTGAGAAATTTCTAATCCTCCTTGCACATGATCAGTTCCATCCCCTCGAGAGACGGAAATGTCTCGTCCTCGTCCTCATCCTCGTCATGATTAACGCGCCACAAATACTCCATTTTGTCCTTGACTTCCTGCCATGTGATTTCCTCTTGAAAAGGAAGATAGAACGGGCCATTCATCATGCCGCTTCCCCAGATAGCATCGCTGGGCTGGAGAGCGAAGAGCTTTGGCGACTTGCCTTTTCTATATGCGTAATTAGACGGTGAACGGTAGAGAATCATGACTCTTCGGCAGCTCTCGACGTCCCTCACACAATGCCAGAAGTGCTCCAATTCTTCATCACTTCGGAAGTAATCCCAGTTGAACGCGAGGATCTCAGCCTGGCATTGATCAAAAGTCGGTTCAAGCTCTCCGTAAATTTCGGGGTCATCGATGATGACGACGTCCTTCTTGGGGTTAAACCAGGTGCTTCCACCAATCGTGTTTCCCCAGCCGAAAGCGAAGGATCCGTGTTCGTTCGCAACCTCCCGAGATTCTTTGCATACAGCTAGAATCGCCGGAGGTCTGAAGGGTTTGCGGAGCATCAGAACTTCGCCAATGTCATATGGCTCGAAGACACGGGAATCTGGCAGAGCCATTTCCCAGATAATTCTCCGAATTTCCGGGGGAAATCGACGGAATTTTGGGAAACCTTCGACCCTCAATTGAATCAGCATATTTTCAGGTCTTCTAATACAAATGAAACCGCAAAGGGCTGGACAGGAGCTTACCGCAGGCAGACTTCTGCTCCTGCTGCTTGGGGGGCATCGCCACAGCTTGCTGTCTCGAGAGCACTTTCGCCGCATGCTGTTTCATGATCTTGATCTGCAGGCTCACGACATTCGCCAAAGTCTCCTGAGTCTCTGTTGCCAATTCTCCTGGTCAGAACTTTGGTGGCACATGTTGTTTATGACGGAAAGCACTGACCTTGAAGATCCCTCTGTCGGGAGACATCTGCTGCAGGGGCATCCTTTGTGATGCGAAGCTTTGCCAGTGCAGAAAAGGCCTTCGACTGTTGGGCCTGGACTTTGTTGATAGCATCAAGGGTGTCGGTCAAGCTCTTGATAAGCTCCGCCGACTCGTCCATACTAGTTGGCTTATAGCTGACTCTGAGATTGAGAATTGAGTTATGTGTTTGGCAGCGTGAGGAACAGGATTTCGGTTTAGTTGGCCTGAAAGAACAGAGTTGTGTTGAGGAAGTTAAGAGGGAGAAGTTCGGCCGAGGAAATTAGTCGTAGAGGACGACGAGTGTGAGTATATCAGAGCGAAGAGGGCAAGAGTGTACAGAGAAGATTAGGATGGCGGAGTGTGGGAAAGTCTAAGTTTAAAGTGAAGAAGTCGAGGGCAATATATAAGTGAGTGGGAAAGGGCCCTGAAGTTCCACCGCAAGGCAGGAACACCTCAGATCTTGCTCTTTCAACTCCCAATGGGTAGCTACGACTTTTTTTTGAAAGTAAATTCACTTTCTATGCATGAATAAACTATGTCTTGTAATTCAAGACTCAAGGGGCTACTAACTAACATAGAGAACCCCTCAAAGGCAGCCTACTTCACAGAGTAACAAAAACTGCTGACCTCATTCTTCTTGTCAGCAGATAAGACTTTGCAATCCCGTTCACCTCAGAAGCCTTAATGGTGGCATCTGGTAAAGACTAGACAGCCATAGCCATGGTGGCCCACAATCTAGGGGACAAACGTCGACTGTCCCCGCATGATGCTAATCCTTCTCACCATGCGTGCTCACTCATATTGACGATCAAGCCAAGCCCCGCCGCTTCACAGAAAGAACTTTCTTTTCTAAGCTGGCCGGCGGAAACGATTTTAAGGGATGCAAGACCTAATTCCTTTCTTTTGAACACATTCGAATTTTGACAGAACCACCACCATCGAGGTGGGTAGAAGAAATCGCATCAACCACCCCGACTCGGAGGGCAAGGCTATCAAAATGGCCTCAAACTCGCAACCCGAGCCTGATGAGCAGATAGAGCTTCTCCGACATGAGAATGATCCAATCTCCAGCATCCTGAATTCCACCGGTATGATCATTTCTTCCTTCCAGCAGCTCAACAAACAACAGGAGGCCATTGCCAGCCTGCTGAACACAGCAAGCAAGGTGTATTCCAAACTTGACGAGTCTGAAAAACTCTCAATTGGAAACACGCATTCTTCGTTGTTGATGGCCTTAGCCGGAATCACGCATGCCGACGGCCAGCAGGACCAAGAATTCCGTCAAGGTGCAATCACCCTCCTTTTGAAGGCAGCAAGCAAAGTTGTCGAGTCTATCCAGAGAACCAAAAAACCCCCTCAGACTCGCAGTCAAGGTATTTAAGCTTCCCTCGATCGTCAATGAGAGGCTTTCTAACTATTGCGATAGACGGTCAGTGCTATTTCAATCGACTCCCCAACGAGCTGAAGGACAAGATCTGGAAGTCATGCCTTCCGCCTGGTAGAATCTACGAGCCGATCACATACTACAACCACCAGGAACACGACCCAAGAAACATTCTGTTCTATCAGCACTGGGCACCTCCGACTTTCAGAGAGATCAACAGAGAGGCTCGCGAGTACTGCATGAAGGCTGGCCAATTTCGCTTTGGCCACTTTGAGGACGAATCGGGCTACGGCACCATGAGATCGATCTGGTACAACAATGATCTGGATGCCATCTATCTCTCCGGTCCTGAGCAGTACTGGTACAACAACCACCTTCAGGTGAAGAACCTCATCATCGGAGACGCCATCGTCCTTGACCGGAACGAACGCAGAGAAGTGCTCACGAGCGACTGCTACGGCTGCGACAACCTCACAATCGCCTACCAGCCCCGCGGAGCTCCCATTGATGAGAACAAAGGACCTACTCGCGAGGCAATGGAAGCTACTGAGCCAGTCTTCTACGCCGTCGATGATGATGAGCGCGTCTGCGCTGAGATAGTGGACGTGGAAGATTGGGGTGAAGGCCTGCTAAAGACCTGGGCTGAACACAGAGATGAGCTCAAGGAGATCTTCTACGAGGATGGATCCAAGACGAGAGATGTCACTTTCCGTGCTGTGGAAGTTTTCCGGAAGCCTCGCATCGAGAAGAAAGGTTATCATTTCAGGCGATACCACACAAACGGGGCATAAGTCAAGGACCCCATACATTCCTGCCTTGGCACGATCGCTTTCTGTTATCACCTTCGTTAGATAGATAGACGGCCGGAAACGCCCTGCCCAACGGTACTGAGGGGGCGAAAGGTTATAGCTATCAACTCAAAGACAGTTCCCACTCCGATTTTTATTCTATCAACGTGGCCTGACTGTGCCCCTTTTGATGTGAAATGTAATCCTATACGGCTGGATAATTCTCGAGATAAGAGGATAGGCGTGTATACCACCGAAGATACCGAAGATCTCAGTCTAGACGACTGACCCTATCAAGACCGTCAAGCCCGCCTAGCATCAGTTGACAAGATGCCTTCTGCTCATGCACCCATGTCGGGGCTCGTAAACAGAATTATAGAGACTATCAATCCCCTTTTGAGGGCCCTTCCGGTTCTTATCATGATTTGAGCAAAGGAATTCCCGGGGTTTTGGCAATAATCTCTTGAACAGCATCACTGTGATGCGAATACAAGCGGTCTTTGACGTCTCCCTTCAACTGGTCCTCGTTTAAGGCTCTGTTTCGCGGCCGAACTGCTACTACTGAAATTCAGACACGGGAGACAGTTATTAAGCTATAAAACGTCAGAAAAGGCCTTTCCCATGGTCGGAATCAAGTTCTCATACTTCATTTCATGACTTTGGTGAAGAGGTCACAACGGCCATCTCCTCAGGACTCAGCAGGATCCTCGATGAGATCCTTGACGTTGCACATTATTTCTAGTGATAGCGCAACTACGGCAATTTTATTCCAATTTTCAACTCACCCCTCAGAAAATCTTCTCTCTTTCACACCGTCTCACCAAGGCGTGGTGCTGAAAGTAAGCTGAAATTTTATCTTTTAACCTCCAACAACAGACTAAGGGAAGCCAGGAAAATAACGCCTCTTTACTCCCATCGGTTCTCCCCTGGGGCCTGTACCATCCTCGGGTCTTGAGATCAGCTAGATCAGTCAGATCAACAGCACTCAAAGCAAGGTTCAACAAATAGAATCTATTCACTCTCCAATCACAAAGCTAACGTCTTCAAAGTGCAGTTCAATAGGGTCTACAAAGAATACATCTCGGGTGAGTCTACTTACCCCAGTCCGTTGGACAGTCACTTCTGCTTTATTTTCTCTGTCAGAACTCAAGCCTGTTTGCTAACTACCCATGAAGTCCCATCACCAGCAACGTAACGGTGAAACCATGTCTTTCCCGCAGTTCAAGAAACTGCCTCCCGAGATCCGCCGCAAGATCTGGGTCGAAGCTCTCCCAGCCCCCCAAATCTACGAACCGGACTCCCATGAAGGAAACTGGTACTCGGACAAGGGTACTCGCTTCTTTCACGAGTACTATTACACTCGCGTCAGAGAGGCGTGCAAAGAAGCATACGAGGCCTGTATGTCATTCGGTCGCTTCACCTTTGGATGCTTTGGCAACTCCAACATTCGCGGCCTGTGGTACAACGATGCCCGGGACGCTATTTACTATGCGACCTTAGGCCAGTGGCATGGAACGAACTTGAAGGCATCTCGGAAGATGATCATATCCGTTGAAATCGCCTTAGATGAGTTCCTGAAGACTGGTTTCGAGGATGAGAAGTTTGCTGCCTGTCGCCACCTCGTTGTCGCGCTGTTCATCGACAGGTACCTTCCCATCGGGTCCATTATGACGGATGATCTTGCTAGGATGGAGCCGTTGCTTCGAGCCATGAAGGACGATGCTAACATCGCCCAAACGGCTAGTTGTTCGGGCATCATAGCCAATAGATTTCCAGAGCTGGCCGGGAAGGACTACCTCACCTGGGCTGAGGTCAGAGGCATGCTTTTGAAGACGAGAGAGGAGAGGATTCTCGCAAACGCCGGGAAGCCAAAGATGTACAAGAGACCCTTGCTCCTTGAAGCTGTGGAGGTCTTCAAAAATGAGAACGCTCAGGATCCCGAACGAATCTTTTAGGTCTTGAGGATTGGGGTGGATCGTAAGGATTATCGACGACTACTTCAGTCACTCATCTCTTCTTTCCTTTAAACTGGTACACGCAGAGTAGTGTAGATGGGAGATTGCTGGCAAATAGAAAGAATGCTAGGTCTTTGAATACGACTTTGCTTCATAGATATCGACCTGAAGTTTCTCAACATTTGATGAGCGCGCAACTAGTAAAGGCCCTCATAAACCTTCATAAACATGATGCTAAATATTACAAACGGGGACTCTGAAAAAAAATGCTAATCGCGTCGTTGATCGCCCTTGGCGAGGTTTAGCCCCGAGAAATACAGATTTACACCTACCTCAACTGCCATACTGGGATAGTCACGTACGCATTGGCAAGTCATGATGGGTCTTGGATTCATTTCATTTTGAGGACGGAAGCTTGTGACATGAAGCATGAGCCTGAGTGGTGAGTGAAAGCGAGGTCCCATGGTCTATAATGTCGCTCTACAAAGTGATGTGTAAGAAGGCCCGTGGTGTGCAGAACATTGACAGCATTGCCTCATTCGTCAGGTCTGTTGGCTGGTGAAATGGCAATAGGCACGAACAGTGTACGTTTTGAAAAACCTTGTGGATATCAATTGGTGCTTGACTAGCTATCGTACGATGGAGAAACCAAACCAAACGCCCCTTCTCCCAATGAAAAGTGTACCGGAATATGGTACATGTCAAATCCTGCGTGAATCATCAAGGACCAACCCGAAAATCATCCAAGCTACCTTCTCCATCTTATCTAGTCAAAGTAGCTCGGGCGAGCTTTAAGGACCTCGATACCGGAGAACTTCGGAACGCGGCCGGGACTGAGATGCTTCACGTTGACAACGTGGTCATCCCAGATGTGGACAACAATGCGCTTGACATCGCCCCAGGTTGCGACGCTACCGACGTTGTCAGAGAGCTCCTTCGGGTAGTCGTGGGTGCTAATAGGATCGGCTTCCTGCAGCGGGAAAAGCTTAGCAGGCAGGCGAGGGCTTGCAAGGCAGGAGCGGATATCCCATTCCATGGTCTGCATGAGGATGACCTCCTTGCAGGAGGTGAAGTGATCGAGAATAGTGTCCATCTTGGCGGTAGCGTCGGCCTTGCACATAAATCTATTATGCGGGAAGGCGACACGGACGATGCGAGACATGTCGAGGTTAGTCCAGGTACGCGGCTCCTCGCGGACAAAGACGATATCCTCTGAATAGTTGTACCAAAGGCCTTTGTATGGACCACCAAACAAGCCAAACTCGAAGCCACCTGCCTCAAGGAATGCCTTGTTGGCCTCTTTGCAAGCGAGTCGGAGCTTGGGCGTCTTGTGGGCGGTCACACTCATTTCAGTGAGCCCCGAGGCCTGGCGCAAGACCAAAGCCGGATTAGGCGCGCCGTTGTTGGCGGCAATCGGGGCTCGGAGAACACGAGAGAAGTGGGCATCGACATTTGAGAGGTCAAAAATGCGTCCGGCAGGGAGAGCAAGCTTCCAGATCTTCATACGAATTTCGACGGGGAACTTCTGGAACTGGGGGAACTTGCTGCTCTTGCTGTGGGAATGGCGGGAAAGCTTCGAGTCTGGAAGAGGAAAGCCCAGGTAAGAGGAGAAGGCCGCCTTGACGGTGTCTCGCTCGCCTGCTTGATCGATGTCAGCGCTGTGCTAAAGACAAAGAGAAGAGAAAAAACGTGCGCTTGTGACTGTGGCGAGTGGACTTCTTACTCTCAATCTGCTTGATCTTCTCCTTCAATTCAGAGTTCTCCTGGTTGGCAGTCTCGAGACGACTCTGAAGGGCCGCCAATTGGGCGGGCTGGGTTGCGTTCGGGAGATTTGCAACCTCTGTGGTGACGGCGGTGCGAATGTAGTCCTGAATTGAGGCCATCATGGCATTCGAGGCTGCGGCCATCGGGTCGGCGGGGGTGGATGTGTTGTTCGCCATGGTGAGTTTCAGCTACTAAGATGAGATGAGATGAGCAAACGGGGTCCGACGAGGCCGAGTCTAGATAGGTCGCTTACCAAAGCAATGGAGAGGGATGAGTTATTTTGATGGGTAACTTCTGTAGCGATAGCAAAGTAAAATGCTCATGCGATACCGATGATGTACCAAGCGAATGCAAATTGTGCCAAGGCCAGTGAAAGCCGTCGCAATATGACGGCTCCTGGACGATGAGACTCGGGGCCGTGTCGCGTACGCAGATGTTGGAAGAGAAGCCGCAGTGGTGCAGTAAGGTAATAATTGCCAAAAGTCAGCAAACCGTCGTCTCCTTGTCCCTTCCGTTGTCGTGCGGCGGAGACTGGACGTGATGCCGTCCAAAAAGCCCACGACGGTCGGCCTGGGAAAGAGATGTAGTTGAAAAAAGGCGAGATGAGTGTGGGAGATATCCAGGAAGGTTACCTAAGGTTGGAATTAAGGTGCTTGCCACCCTTCGGTTGGCTGGTTGGGGAAGGAAGGATCGCTTCCTGTGGTTCGCCCCTTCCTCCCGCCCAATTTAGAAGGTTCAGAGGCACTGGCAGGGACCTTTGTGGCGGTACCTTGATACTTAGGTACCTCTATTTTCCGAAGCACCAGTGATTCAGCAGGTGCGGGCCAACGTTCCTGTACCCCAAGTCCACCTACCTCAAGCAGCGTGGCAGCCCAGTAAGGCCCCTCAAGAAACTGCCCCTCTCCTTGTCACGCTGGAGCGGGAGCAGGGATCTTCACCCAGGTACACGCGTTAGTGACCGGCCGGGAGCCATCACTGCGGGCTCAATCTCACTTCCCGCGGCCAACGCACTGACCTTCAGTTCGGTTGAATCTCACCTCACTCTGACTGAGATGTGATGAGTGACAAGCGTGACTTAACGGGCTGTATCCGTAGATAAACTCATCATAGATTATGTGTATGAAAACGCAAGCTTCGACAATGCCGTGAAGCTGGTTGTAGGATGAGATCCGAACAAGAAGGTCACGACGAGGACCTTGCCGCAAATGCACTAACATGAGAGACAAGCGGAAGGCAGGAAACGACACAAGTATCTATCTACACTTGATCGCCTGTAACAAATTTACGAGAACACCATCCTGAACCAACGCAATAAGAGATGGGTAAACGGAAGCAACAGGTCAGTGTGAGCCCATGCAGAATCGATGAGCCGCACTTTTAGTTCGTCTTATCTCCAGCACTTCCTACATGAAGAACAAGTCGGTCACGCCGGTTAAACTGAAACCCTACACGCAAGTGGCCGCAACGTCCGCGCGTGGGGGAAGACGTTCCAACTCTAACCCATGGACAAATAGACCGGGGATGGTTGACCAATCATGAAGAGACGGGGTTGACGCCTCGCAATTGTCCAATCCTGTCACGTCCCAGTGCCTTGCTGACGGTCGGGGGAATCCTAAGGACTGAGATGTCTAGGTATCCTACTGGACAGGCATTCATGAAATTTCCCCGGTCTTGGACACAAGCGGGTGGTGAAGCCTTGTTCGTGATGGATATGCGTTATCTCCACGAATTTACGCGGCAGCTATTCAAGTAGCCAGGAACCAGCTCATGTCATGACATCGGACGTTGGATCGAGGAAAATTTATGATCTATCTACTCAACAGATCTTAACCACATGTCATCTCGCCAGCCATCTCCCTGGAGGGAAAATTTGGGTGTTCACTCCTTTCCTTCTGTCATACAGCGTAATGGGGATGGTGTTCAAGTGGGATAAGGTATTGACGGGAGCTACTGCGTCGGTATCAGTCCTGTCGGCTGGCCTTAACCATTCATCACTTTTCTTTTCCCTTCCAAACGATAAAATGAGTATGAAATGAGGACTTGGCTATACTGACCGATCCCAAACAGTGAATCACAGATCGAAGCTGGGTGACCATCGTTCAAAAGACAAGCTTTACTCCACGTTGGGAGCAATGACAGTATAGTTCCTCCATCCACCATTATCCCTCGCAAACTCCGTCGCCTCATGATGCTCATCCAAGGAAAAGACCTTGATCTCCGCGCCGCTCTCCCTCCCGATCCTCAGCTGACCTCCCTCAACCATGCGAACTAGCTGCAGCAGCGTCGGCCGCTCACACATCCACTTGCCAATCAGCTTCAGATTCTTGAGCTCAAATACGGCATACGGTAGAGTCAGCGTCTCGCTTGCGCCGCCGCTGAGAATCACCCTTCCCTCGCGCTTCAGCGTGCGCACAGCGGCCTCGAGGTACGGCGGGTTCTTGAGCTCGCCCGGCGTCCAGTCGTTGAATACATCCGCTCCGGCGCCGTTTGGCGTAGCTGCGAGGATCGCCTGCGCGTCGACGGCGGCGTCGCCAGTCATCACCACCGTCTTGAGACGCGGGTTGTCACCGAGCTTGGCGCGCATTGCTGCGGGCTTGGATTCGCTTCGGCCCAGGGCAATGACGTTTGCGCCGACGGTGAGGGCGACTTCGACGGCTAGACCGCCAAAGGAGCCGCCTGAGGGACCGATGACTACGGTCTCTGCTACTTTGATATCCGCTGCCTCGAGGAGAGCGCCCGCTGCGACGGAGTAATGCGCGATAGAGCTCAGCGCTGCAAAGTCGTAGCCAAGTTCACCGATGAGGCGCTTCTCGTCGAGAGGGTAGACGTTCTCGAGAGGCACTTTTTGATACTGCTGCAGCGAGCCATCACGCCACTCCTTCATCAACTTCTGCCCCGCATCACCCACGCCGCCGAGGTGACCGATCATGACCATGACGTTGACGGGGTCATCGCGGCCGCGGGTGGTGGCGTCAACGTAGACGAGGTCACCCGGCTTGACGCGCACGGCGTCCGGGCCGACGGCGTGGACGCGGCCGATGGCGTTGGGGTTCGGGACGAAGGGTGGGTGGACGTTGAGCTGCGGGAGCTTGCCGGTGTGGACGAGGTGCGCGTAGGGCACGATGGGTGCCGCGAGGATCTTGACGACGACTGTGCCTGTGGGAGCGTCTGGGATGGGGAGGTCGATTACCTCGAGGGGTTTGGAATAGGACGAGATCCAGAGGGCTCTGTTGCCTTGTGCGGAGCTCATTTTTGATAGATCGGGCTGAGTATGAGATGGTTTCGTGTAAGTGGACTTTTGGGAGAATTGAAAGGTTGTAGCTCTAGGTGATTGATGTAGTCGTTCGTCTCGTCTTTCTTATACGCCGATACATTTCGAATGGATGTGGTATGTTGCTGGGTTTTATGATTCGTTTGATCATGGTCGAAATCTAGGGGCTGAAGCTACGTTTCTCGGACCTGTTGATGATGCCGCGTTCTCCATTTATTTCAAATGAGGAAACCCGTGGCCGAAGCTTTCGGCCCATGGAGAGAGCTGTGATCCGACAGTGGGCCCCCATATCAAGGCACCGCGCGAGAGGGGCTTTCAGTGGTGACGGAATTGACTGCCGTGGAGATCGGCGGGCCGTTGGAGGACTGTGGCATAGAACTCAATTGCCAGCTAGCACGACTCGGGTTTGGGACAAGACCAGGGGGGCTTGGTTAGTTCCATTGTCATTTTTGACCTTATATCGACTATGCCCCAGAGATTTTTGGGCCAGCGAGCTTTGCATTCTTACAGCTATGCGTTGTTGTACGCAGCGGGAGCGGACGAGTGGGAGTGGACCTGCATTAAGGTATCCGTGGATAAGGTACTTCGGTTTCGGCCGGACAATGTGCGTCAATGTCCTTGTCATGGCCGCTTATGTAAGACGACCAACGACATGGCAACTTGCTCAACGTCGATTTGACCTTAATGACGTTTATTCTACCTTAATCCATTCCCAGCTTGTCCTCGGCGTCATATTCCACTCAGTTTTCCCATTAGTCATACGAATCTTGGTGCTCGTCAAACGGAAGGAAGGAAACATCGCTGTCTCTGAGCGTTAACACCTTCGAGGAATCTTGAACATACCTTGGCATCATCGGAGAAATACCTTACCCCTTGCAGCGGGAACGGAACCGCTTAAGTTAGCCTCATGCAGGCACTAAGAAGCTATTGATTTGGGGGGGATATATTTCCAGCGGTCGTTCTTTGCTTGAGTTCAATCTTCGAGTATCTCACGGGTCGAACATATAGAATGCCACCTCAAATTGACAAAGGCCCTAGACATTTATGCCGGTTTGTCTTGAACAAACAAACAGCCACGAAAGACTCCAAGCCTTTGTCCGATAACGGGAAAACCTTCAACGACTGTTCTCTTGTGCGAAGTTGCTGCCTAGTGGCCCACATTTCAGCAATACTTCTGTCTACATCGCGCCTTCCAAGAGATAGGAGGACCAAGTTCCTCTCATGATCTGTAGTCTGTCGAATACGGCCCTGTGACATGTTGGATGCTGAGAGTCTGAAACTTCCCACAATAGGTTTTCATTTCAACTTCCTCAGTTGAGGTTTGGATGATATTGGCATGGAGATCCTCTCAGAGGAAGAAACTGTTGTGGTACAAACAAGCTCTTGTTAACTCTAGAGAATAACAGTTCCTCATAACAAATCTATTGTTCGCTTGATCCAATCCTCTTTGTAACATCCGGAGTCTTCTTTTCCTGTTCACATCTCTTAAGGTGGGTGCAGCTCATTTCATCAGTGCCTCAACTGGACACCTGAGTGAGATGAAGTGAAGGATGAATAACCGAGATGGAATACACACCTTACCATAACCTGAATACTCTCAAACCGCAACCAAGTGACCTCATGGGCGGCGTGAGAGGAGGCATCTTCCGCTTCACTGAAAGAAAAATGAAAAAAAGGTTTGCTCTTGACCCTGGGCCCTTTCCCTTTACCTTTTCCTTTCACCTCTGTTTGGTCTTTTTTTCTCCCCCTCTCCCGCGCAACAACATCACCACCATCCATCCATCACATTTTATGCCCGTAAGACTTTGATCCTCGATTTCCGTCTCGCCTGATCTTTCAGATTATTAACACTTATCTAGTTGCTTTGGCTTCTGCGCGCTTTTCATAAACAGTCACCATCACCACTACCGCCACCACCACAATGGCTCCTCGCTCGTGGGCCCAGATCGCTGCCACGGGCACAACGCCCAAGCCCAGTCCTCTGCGCCGAGAGGTCTTGGTAGACCAGCAATCCTCCCGCCCAGTCCCCCCTCCGCCCTCTGCCGCCGACTTCCCATCCCTCATGGGATACACAGGGGAGGAGGTGAAGGAGGGGGAGGGGCAGAATATCGCAGCCTCACGGGCTGAAAGCCCTTGTCCTTCTTCCCCTTCTGGCCCCGTCTCGGTGGTGGGAGGAGCGGAGGAATTTGGTGTTGCCTCTTCCCTTTTGAGGGGGAGCAACTACCCATCTTCCTCTTCTCCTCCAACTATCACGATCCTCAAACGTGATACCACCACCTCCTCATCCCCCATCGCCGACAACACCGCCGAGATGGTCAACCAGAAGCGACAGGAGAAGCTTGCTGCGAAGAAGGCGGCGGAGGACGCAGCTCGTCAGTGGCTGCTACCGGAGATTCCGGCCATTTCGGTGGTCGGAGGGTCTTCAACCGCAGCTCTTGACGTGGCTGCTGATCCTGCCGCCATCGACGCGGCTAACGTTCCTCTCCCGGCGGACGAGGAGATGGAAGACAAGGGGGAGGGACCGGCAATCCCGACCCCGACCGAAGAAGAGGTGACTGTCGCCTCGTCCGAGGCTTCGGCTAAGGACGAGGCGCTCAGAAGAACCATGATCGCCTCGCTCGAGCGAGACCACCGCGCTGGGTAAGTCTGAGGCTCATCGCGAAGCGGAAATAAATAACGTTACTGACTTCTCTTTTCTTCTTCCTACTCCAGGCTTCTCCTGAAGAGAGAGACCCATAACTTGTTCCTCCATGTCCGTGAGGGCACGATGATCGGATGTCATCGCGACATCGTTACCTCCGAGGCCACCAAGCTGACGGAGCTCCTTCCCCCTTCCGACGAGGTAAGTCTACTATCGGTTTTGATGGAAGATTGCAATTTTCTCATTTTTTTGGTTGATGAACAGGACGGCAAGACCCACCTCGACCTGAGCGATTGCACGATGGCATACCTTAGCCCGGTCATCTTCTTCATCTATAATGGTGGTAAGCAACTATCGGGATGTCTTGCCTTAATTCTTCTCTAATCTGGATATTGGCAGATCTCCCTGGCCACCGAATGAACCGGGATTGTATCTGGGACACCCGTCCTCTCATCAACAACGTCATGTTCTATGGCCCAGCGTATCGCTTCGGCGTCTCGACAATGCTCAAGAGCCAGCTCGACAACATGGAGGAGGCGTACGAGATGTACCGCGTCACGTTCGGCGGCCGGTACTTCTACTACCAGATCAAGGATTTCAACAAGATGGCTGGATTCGAGGTTCCCTTCCGGATGGCGCTGATTCATCTGTACCTCGACAACCCCTTCGACGAGGAGCTCAAGCCCATGAAGGTGGCTTTTGCCAAGTTGGCGACCGTCGTGCTCCCCTTCCTGCGCCGTCAGCCTACCTTCAATCCGCTGACTCAGAGTCTCTGGGAGGGCCTTCCGTTCCCCTGGCGTTCCGAGTGGGAGGAGTTCTACTACGAGGGTCTGCTTCCCGACTTCCCCAAGATCTTTGACGAGAACATGGAGTGGGTTGAGGAGAAGATTGACGAGAGCCGCTTCTTCTACGAAGAGCCTATCGACCCCGCTGGTCCTTCTTCGCGTCCTGCCTTGTCTGGTCCCGCGATGGTTTCGTTCTACCAGGAGTCAGTTGACGAGATGTGCCGTCGTCTTTCCGGCTTTGGTATCGTTCCCGGCTATCCGTTCACTGGCTAAGATTGCAGTCTTGACCAACTAAGCACCGAGCTTTGAGTTTCTCCCCACCTGGATCGTACAGCCCTTTCTTGCCTTTGCTGAATACTCATCAACCTTTGGGATTCACTTGGGATATCGTCATTCTCGCTATCGTGCTTCAACTCGGACTACTTCATTTTGGCATCGCGGACGCGGACATTTTGTATCTCGGTATCGGCTACCAACTCTTCTCTTGTTACGATTACGACTCTGCATCATTGCGGCTTTCGACCTTCTTGTTTCTCCGTGGCAGGGGCTAGTACATGGACGGATAACTTCACTTGCTCAACCCATCTCGCAGATTGGACCTTCCGGACCGATGCTTTCACGCGAATGCACGAAAAGGCATGAGTCCTCCGGCACCTGACGACTTTTGTTTCTTTTTCTATCATGTTTGGAGGTGTGTGGATGTGACGGAACCTCGGAGGAGGTACTCATTTACTGGAGGACACTACGGACTGATGATTTTGCTTGCTTGTTCCATTTTCATTTTCTGTCTTTTGGCATGGTCGGCCACAGTTACGGTTACGGTTATGGAAAAGAAGATACCCATTCGGTTTTCGGTTCTAGGACAGGTTCATTTTACGATACCCCCTGGTTTATGAGTCTGGAGTCAAAGGTTCACGGTTTACGGATACTCGGATGGATTAAAAGAACTCGGATACTCTCGTCTTCAAAAGAAGGCACTTATAACAAGAGATCTGAGCACAGGATGCAGCAGTCCCATGACATGACGTAAATGTCCTTATTTTTGCCATGGACAGTGCCCGTGGGTGCCCGTGGTGAGTGAAGAGTGAGATGAGGTTCAATCTGAGCCACAGGGAAGCCACCTGCATCGTCGCCCCGGCAGTGGCTGGGCCCAGAGCGTTTAGTGCTGATTAGCCTTACTTTGCAAGCTGGGGCCTCCCGGGCCTGTGTCTTCACCGCTGAAGATGGCGGGGCAAGGCAAGAACCACCGCCGCTAACGTGTTCTACTGTCTCCATCCTCTGTGCGGCGTGGGTGGGAACCTGCCGTGGTTGACGGTTCCTGGCGTTTGCTTGGCCCTTCACAGGCCCACGGCCCTCTGTACCTGCCGTGGTATCCTCCTACAAGGCACAAAAAGCCGCCAGCGGCCCAGCGCTCAGACTGGCGCCATGGCAGTAACGGCAGTAACTGAGGTGATGGGCAACGGCGCTTGCGGTCCCCGTGTTTAGTGTCGGCCCTGCCCTGCCCCCTCTCAGTTCCATTGCAACAACCGGGTGGCTGGTGGTTTTTTCGGCCGGGCTGGGTAGGTTGCGTTTTGTCATGGTGATTTGCTGCCATTACATAGTACTGGGTAGTCATGGCAAGCATTCTATTTAATAAGTGGTGCATCATGTTTCGGGGGCGCCGCCGATCTAAAGAGGCGTTCGCTTATTTCGCAATCTATCGATAATTAAAGGATATCCAATACCACCTTGCCGTTTGGAGAAGGAGAAAATATTATCACCACTCGATTAATACCAGGGTCCAAGGGAAAACCCACCAAACGGCACTTACACCAAGACGACAGACTTTACATGGTGCTACGGCACAGAAACAGCAAGGCCACCCACATCATTATACCCGGCTCTTGCGAGGGAAACCTTCACGATGTCACAGTACGAACCTTCACCCCAACCTCGCCGACGGGGAGGCCAGTCCCTCTTCCCCTACAGCAACAGCAGCAGAGCCTCAGCCCAGAGCCTCAGGAGCCAGTACAGTAGCAGAGAAGCCCAGACGGCGCACCTCGTCCAACTGATTGAGGAGTTTCGCAAGGGGGATCCCATCTACGAACCTGTACCACCCACCCCGCCACCCAGAGCCCCGGGACGACAGGGGAGTCAACGGAGTCAGAGGAGCCGGAGGGTCGTTTCGCCCTTTGTGCGATTCCAGTCACCTTTGGAGAGGCTCACATCGCCACTGGAACGTTTTGCATCACCTTTGGAGTCGTATGCTCCCAGAAGACGGGCCAAGACGCCGCTTTCTGTTCCCGTTGTGTATGATATGCCCACTACCACCGCCACCACCCAGCAGCAGAACATTATCTTCCCCGCGGCGATACCAGAAGAGGCGCAGATGCAGACGAGGCACCAGTCACCACCGCAAGAACCTGAAATCGTGCCCGTGCCGTCCATCATCGCCAACGAGGAGACGGAGTCGGACGAGCAGAGCTTCGACCTAGACGGATTCCCGATGCCG